GTCCAGAATGGTCTGCCGCCACGCTTCCAGACACTCGCCGGCACCGATGCTAGACATCTTATCATGCGCAGCACCATGGAAGAGCATCACCATGACGTAGTACAGTTGCACCGACAGACTGGCCTCCCATGGCTCAAGGGATGCGTTCGTCACGACGCTCGCAGTAGCCTCCGCCCGCGCCAGAAGCGCTGGGTAGCGTGAGTCGAATGCTGCTAAGCACGCCCTAAAGACGAACGACCACTCTGGCCATGTCGCCCTTTGTCCACATCAGATAGGTGTCTGCTTCACCTATCAAGCGCGTGTCGACGCATGGCTGGAGTACGGATCCAGTCCCTTGCGGCGGCGGCGCCGGGGCGGGAGCGGCAGAAGCAGAAGCAGGCGATGCACGCAACCCTTTGACTGCTGCCACCAGCTCAGTGATCTGGCTCGCCTGTTGCCTTACCCGGCCCCGCAATTCTTCTGCTGTAGGCATGCCCATTGCCTAGAACGCGAACGGTCACGGGCGGCTTCTGGAGCCGCTCTGCGCTCCTCCTGCATCTCGTCCAGAAAACTCGAGGTGCCGTCCGGCGTCCGCGTGGCGCCGGTCCCACCCGGAGGTAGAAGCTCGCCTACGCTCCAGGGCGCAGGCGACGTCGCGGAGTAAGCTGGCTGCCTCTTCGCGTCTGTCTGCAGGGCGAGTCTCGTCGCGCTCGTGTGTCCACTCTTGGATCGACTCTAGCCGCTCGACCTCTTCTCGCGCAAGCCTCACCAACGTTGAGTTGCTGGCCTGCTCTACAAGACAGTATTCCCGGACCACCTCGTACTGGTCACCGTCGGTCCCCGACAGCTCGCCCGACAGCAGGTCCGGCTCGTCCTCCCGGTCCAAGTACGGGCGGCCTTCCACCACGGCACGCCGAAGCGGCTCGGACCTGGCGGTGGCGATTCGCTGCCTGTCCGCCTGGAGTGGCGGGTCCTCGGCGCTGACGCCCAGATCTGCGCAGCGCCGCGCCCCCAGGTTGCTCGCCAAAGCCTCCGAGGCGTCCAGGTCGCGCCTCGGGATCAACTCGGCGGCCCGGCGTCGGTGGCGAGGGTCCCGGGCCTCCACTGCCCGAAGCTCCTGGCGGCGACGCCGAGAGGGCTCCTGAGCCGCACTGGCGCTCTGGCCCGCATCGTGGGCAGACTGGTGGCCCTCGCCAGTGGGCTGGGCGCGGCGCCGCAGCCGCGGCTGGTGGCGCCAGGGTGCGCCGGTCAGGAACGAAGGAGGGGCCCCAGACCTGGAAGAGGGTGCGGCTGCCGAGCTGCTTGGCAAAGGTCCTCTGGAGCTGCGGTGGGCCTCAGGAGGTATACCACAGGTCCGCTACCATGTCGGAGCGCGCGCGGACGCGCACGGGCCTTTTTCAGCGCACGGGCCAAAGAGGGCTGCGGACGCACTCTCTCCGTCTCTACGCTGCACAGCTGATGCTACCTACCTGCCCACATGCTGCCTGCCACACTGCAGCTCTACAGTGGGTCGAGAGCTCCAGATGACCACACAGAGCATGGGGTCAAGAGCTCCAGCATGTACAATCAGCAGATGCCCTGAACCTGCAGGATGCCTCCACAGAGGAGCCCGCTTCCGGAGCACGGAGCGCGAAACGTGTGCCGCCGGCATGCCGTGCTGTGCCCGCATGTCGTGCCGCGCCGCCCCCAGGCGTCATGGGATGCGTGTGCCGTGCCGGGCCCGCGTGTCGTGGGGTCCGGTGTCCAGGTCTTCGGGCGCGGCAGGCGTGCCGTGCTGTGCCGTGCCCGCGCGCCGGTGCCGTGCCGCGCCACGCTCGGCTTCTTGCGGCACGGGGCGCCCACGCCAAGCACGCCCGCGGTGATGCTGGCTCGGCATGTGCGTTCTCGTGCTAGCGTTGAGGTGCATGGCTTCTTTGTACCGTGTCATTCAGCATCTGGCCCTAGAGGTGTTCGCCTATCAGAGGTCGGCGCACGTTGCGTTCCTGGTTTGCCTGGCGCGTTGTCGTTTCACTTGGAGCCGGTGCGCATCACCCCGAGCATTCCATTTTATGTTCGCCTTATTCCTCCTCTTCTGAGCGGCTGTCTTCGAGCGATTCGTTTGCAACACCGTCGGCGCCAACGGCCCAGAGTCAAAGCTGTGTACAGAATGCGCTGTGTTGCTGGAATGACGACAATATCCAGCATCTGGCCATAGCTTCGTGGAGGTCTCAAGGGAGAATTCCATTTGGGAACCGGCCCGACCTCGATTCGTCTAAGTGTTCACAGCTTCCACAAGGAATTTGCGCGACGCTCAGGCGATAATCACATGGTTGAGTCGGGTCGCCCTCTATCTGTGAAGAAGCTGTTGGGAGCGTCTCAGACGAGTGCGCGCGGCACTCATGCGGGAGCCACATTTCGAACAACACTTGCGTTCCATCCGTGAAGTTGAGACGACTGCCCTCGACGCTCAGGAGATAGCCACGTCTTGAGCGTTGGCCGCCCTCAGTCCGTGTAGGCAGCTTCTCTGGCGTGTGTGCTTTGCACTCGAGCGGGAGCAACATCCTGCAACTGGACCACCCCCTGTCCGTGCAGCTGTCGAGACTTCGGGCTTCGATTCCATACGTGGAGAGGCAGTCTCGGGCGGGGCGACGGGCCCATCCCGCCCTACTGCCGACACGCCTGGTGGTGCGACGAGCAGGAGGTAGTTGGGAGGAAGAGGGATGGAAGCGGAGGAGGAGGAGGAGGAGGAGGAGGAGGAGGAGGAGGTAGGAGGGGGCAGGGGTCGACCAGTCTCAAGAGCCGCTTTCGATCCGATTCGATGCGATTCGATCCGCTGACTGGGGACACGATTCCGATTCGATTCGATTCAACGGTCAACGGCCTCGGCTGGGGCCAGCCGGAGTTGGGCGCGGCGGTCCGGCTTGGATGCGATTCGGGACGATTCGCTTGCGATCCGCTCCGATTCCACGGTTCGATCCGGCTCGGGTCTGCCAGCCGGCCTGGTCCTCCAGTGGACCCACTGGCCTCGGCACCCCGTCCACGCGATGGCTTCCTCCAGCAGGGTGCCCAGGCCGGGCTCGCACCCCCGGAGGCGCAGAGATCCGGGCCTCCCAGCTGGGGCCGCAGCAGATGGGGTCGGAGGACCGCGCCGCATCGCCGATGCATCGCCGATGCGGCTCGATGTGCAGCCCGATTTGCTTCACGTCGACGTCGCCGATGCACTGCCGTCGTCGACGATACATCACCGGCGATGCCGATGCATCCCCGATGCATCGACGATGCGGCGCGATCGTCCGACCCGATCCCATCTACTCTGACCTCATCTAGGAGGCCTCCAAGAGATGGCCAAAAACTTCCAGGGGCCTCGCATCCCGATCGACCGCGACGACGGCGACGACGACGACGACGACGACGACGCGACGACGACTACAGCGACGGCGACGACGACGGCGGCGACGACAACGACGACGAATATCGCGACCACGACCACGACGACACCGAGGACGACGGCGACAGAGACGGAGACGGCATTGACGCTGGCTAAGATGACGAATTCGCGTCGTCGTCGCCAGCGACGTCATCGTCGCCGCTGCGCGGCCAGACCCAGAGATCCGATGTGTTTTTGTTCGCTACGGGGTCCTCAGAAGTCTCGACCCTTTCCTAAGGGCTGGTTCTTCATCTTAGGGCAATTCTTTGGCGGTCCTTGGGACCCCCGAGAACTACGGAAGCCGAAAAGTTGCAAAAAATGCCCGTCGTGTTTGTTTGACGATGCGAGCATGTGCTGGGGCCCAGCGAGGGCCTCCAGAGGCCGGAAACGGTGGCAATATTTGTCCTAACCATCTTGTGGTGTTGGGTTCTCGTCTTGAAGAGACAACGACTTGCATCTCACCTCCCGCTGCCCCGCCTCCCTCCTCCCATCACTGCCTCTGCCCTCCGCATGGCCATGTCGGCACGCCCCTCACACGCTTCGTGGTCCCATAGGGAGCTCCACCCAAGGCCCCGATGGCAGAGTTCGCATACGCCTCCCCCATCCAGTACGGCATGCCCCTGACACGCTTCGTAGCCCCATAGGGAGCTCCACCCAGGGCCCCAGTGGCAGGGTTTGCACGTCTCCCCCGTCCATGACGGCACGCCCCTCGCACGTTTCGTGGCCCATTGGGAAGTCCACCCAGGGCTCCAGTGGCAGGGTCTGCACGCACTTCCCCCAGCCACTACGGCACGCCCCTCAAACGTTTCGGGGCCCAACAGGGTGCTCCGCCCAGGGCCCCAGTGGCCGTCCTTGCATGCCCCTCCCCCGCCCAGAACTGCACACCCCTCCCGCGCTTCCCGGCCGCATACGCACCGCACGCGTCTCCCCCGCCTCCTCTTGGCACGCCCCTCGCACGCTTCGTGGCCGCATGCGCAGCTCCACCGAAGGCCTCCGTGGCGCAGCTCGCGCGCGGTCCCCTCGCCCACTGGGGCACGTACTAGCCGGTCGTTGAAAGTAGGTCTTTTTGGATGCCCAGATCCCAATCTATTTCAAGCGCCTTCCTACTTCAAGAATCGGCATGTTTTTGCTGTGTTTTGTTATTCTCTGGGAGGACCTCGACCCAATCCACTATATCCGCCTTCCTACTTCATGTTTCTACCTGCTTCTTCCGACCGACGCGTACCCCTCCCACGCGTCGCGCCCCCACGCGGAGCTCCACCGCACGACGACGCCCATAACTCATGACGGCACTCACGCCTGCACGTGCACGGTTGGGCCTTCCGCCAGGCGCACTGCACCTCCCTCCCGAGCCCCTCGGCGAGGAGGAGGAGGAGGAGGAAGAGGGGGAGAAGGAGAAAGAGGAGGAGGAGGTGGAGGAGGAACAGGAGGAGGAGGAGGAACAGGAGGAGGAGGAGAAGAAGGAGGAGGAGGAAGAGGGGAGAGGAGGAGGAAGAGAAGAAGGAGGAGGAGGCGGAGGAGGAGGGGAAGTGGGAGGAGGAGGAGGATGAGAAGGAGGAGGAGGAGGAGGAGGAGGAGGAGGAGGTCTGGGGTCTGGCCGCGCCCGCCCGCCCAGGCCAGATCCTCGCCCAAGGCGAGCCCGGCCTCCAGGCCGCAGCGCTCGCCGGCGTCCCAGGCGCAGCGCTCGCCCGCCTCCAGGCGTGGGGCGCGCGGGGCGCGGCACGTCGTCGTCGTCGTCGTCGTCGTCGTCGTCGTCGTCGAGCGCAGCCGCCGCCGCCGAGCGCCGCGCCGCCTGCCGCCCGAGCGCCGCCTCTCGCTGCCGGCGCGGGGCCCTCAAAGGGAATCTCGGAGGGTCGCTTCAGCGAGCGCGCGCTGCTCGCCGAGGGTCATGATGTTCCAACCTACCTTAACCTGCCTTAGCGAATTGATCACCGGACAGAATTTCGAGCGCCAGAAAAGTACCCACAAGCTCGAGGTTTTTCACGTGCCGGGCCCTGGGAGACACTGTTTCGACACCGCTTCGACATTGATTCGACACTCTTTCGACACTTTTCCAGGTGCTCGAAATTATTTCTGGGATGTGGTCCTTAAGTACGATGGGAGCAACATACGCCGAGGGGCCTATTCTCAGGCAGTGGCGAAGCGTCGTGGCTCGCCTGCAGGCCTACCAAAGAATGGTCTGAGAACCTTGTGTGGTTTGCACGAACTGTTCTTAGAACATGTCTGGCTGGGACTGTCTTGATTTAACTAAACACGTCGAGCTTATGTTCTAAGAGCATTGGTTTCGTTATTAGAACACCTAAGAAAATTTCGTGGTAGGCCTATAGGAGTGCTGGGACGGTCGGTCCCTGCTAAATGCTCGCAAACCAGGGCTAGACCTAAACGCTGATTTGGTGGACTGCGGCTGTGTTTTGTTTTTCGTTCTGGGAGGGAGGCATAGGAAAACAGACAGAGAAAAACGAAAAACAGCACGAAAGCAAGACGAAGAACAACGTTTGGGTCCAGCCCTGTCGCAAGCGTCCGACAACATACATGCTTGCCCCGATGGACTGTATCGTGAAGTGATTTGTTTTTGCTTTTTTTGCACCGTTTTGCCGATCGGCGCGGGCCCTCGCCCCCCCCCCCCCCCCACGTGGAGTAGATCTTGGCTGTTTTGAGCGCCTGTTTGGAGCAGGTGGGGTCTCCTCCATAGGACGCACTGTTCCAAACAGCCGCAATAAGCAGAGGTCCGGATCCAGACTCTCCCCCCTCTCCCCCTTCCGCCCAATGTCAAAACGAAACGCCGAATAAGAACACGTTCACAAATCCACCGCGGTGGATCCAGGCCATTTGCGAGTAGTTTCACTGCGAGTCGTGGGACGCGCTTGTATAGGTGTGATCGTCACAGTCCTGGGGTGTTCCCCGATTTCGACCTCCCGGGGCAGCTCTCGTGCTCCGGGGCCCGCAAAAATATATCCAGGACGCAGAATTTCCCTTTGCGATTGGGTCGGATGTCTGGGGCCAAAGATTGACAAAAACACAGGGGAGGATGTTTGTGTTGTGAGCCTCTCTTACCCAGATCCAAAGACCGTCTGCCGCGATTTGACACTGCATTGTTGTCTTTAAGGTTTTCTTTCGTGAGTTCTCCCACCCAGCTGTGCTTTCGTTCCGCGTTGGTATGCCGCGCCATTGGTGTAGTGTGTATTGCTAGTATGTGTATGGCCATTGGCGCCGTTACCGCTTGCACGCTTGTACTTATCATTAGCAGTATCATGCCGACCATCCTTAGTACAGTCAGTATCCTTCTCCTCCTCCCTCTCCACTCCTGAGGAGGAGGGAGGAAGCGGGGAGGGAGAGAGGAGGAGGAGCAGGAAGAGATGGAGGAGGGAGCAGGAGGGAGCAGGAGGAGGAGGTGGAGGAGGAGGAGGGAGGAGGAGGAGGGAGGAGGGAGGAGGAGTAACATCAAAGTACCTGCCAAGATGTAACACAGGGAGGAAAGCGCCTCCTCCCTGAGGGGTGACCAGCACCATTGCACAGGCACTGGCCAGAGAAAAGCACTGGTCGGCGCACGAGGTTCGCGACACTGCCACACTCGCCACCCAGAGCGGGGCGACGGTGGACGTCGCAAGCTGCCGCGGGGGGACTCACGCCAGAAAACAGGACCGAGGACAGAGACGGCGAGCGGCGAAAAAAAGAGCTGGCAGCCAGTCCCGCGGAGCCGCGGAAACCGCGCTCAATTGCAGGGCCCCACCCGACTCCTGAGGCGCGCGCGCACTGGGGTGGCGCTCGAGGTTTGCACACCTTCTGGCACTCTCGCGGGGCGCCAGGTCACGTGCAGCACGAAACGCTAAAGTCAGAGTCGGGCATGTCCCTCTACAGGAGGCATCTTCAAGAACAGTCTGGGTGCGATGTTTCTTTGAATAGGCTTGCCCTATAGGAGTTCTAACTCAAACCCTCCCAATTGGTCCGTTGCCCCCCCCCTTCCCTAATTCCTATGCCTCCCACCCAAATTCCTATGACACCCCCCTCCCCCACCCCCTTTTGCCAATGGCACCCCCCGTCCTTATTTCCAATGGCCCCCCAGCGATTTCCAATGGCGAGTCCTGTGGATTCCTATGGATTCCCATGAGTCTCTTGCCCTTGCTTGCTCTTGTGTGTTCTTGCTTGCTTGCTCTTGCGTGCTGCTATCGCTTGCTTGCTCTTGCTTGCCCTTGCTTGCTTGCACTTGATCGTTGGCTCTTGCTTGCGTGCTTGTTATGGCTCGCTTGCGCTTGCTTGCTTCCGCTTGCTTGCTTGCACTTCCTTGATGTTGCTCCTCCCGTCCTGCTCCCGTCCTCCTTTCGTCCTCCTTCCATCCTTCTCTCGTCCTCCTCTTGTCCTCCGATCTAATTTGAGTCAACGCTGGCTGATATTTGACTACAATTGACTCTTTTGTGCATGTGTTGCATATGTTTCTTTCCTCCAACATCCGCCTGCAGGAGGACCTGCCCGACCTAACGCTAAAGTCCTGTCTGGCACGACCCTCATCGCGGGCGCCGGATGACGGAGGACGGGGGCAGAGACCCAGCCTGTATTCTGGCCCCCTCGCCACAGGCTAGGCACGAGACCTGCGCGGCTACGCCAGGTTCGCGTCGTATCGACCGGCGGCGACCCCGCCCGCCGGCAACCCAGAATGGGTCGGTGTTGAACGATCTGGCATTTCGGAAACGGCCGATCGTTCAAGGTTGATAGATCCCCGCGGTGTCAGAAACCAACGCTGGGATCAACACCACGCGCCCTTGCCGTACAAGGTGCAGTCATCGGTCTGGGCAGCGCTTCCCTGGATGCAACGCCAGAGGCAGCACGAGAAGCTCAGGGCGAACGGCAAGATCAAACAAGTGACGAGCGAACAACACGCACCCATACCCATAGGTGGGACGGAGGGGGCCATGGGTGCGTGTTGTCGCATGGGGGTCCCCGCTCGAATGGGAGCCCCCCACACTGTCCGACAACCCGTACCCGTACCCATAGCCAGTCCTCTTCCCTCCGAACCGCCTATGGGTATGGGTGTGTGCTGTTCTCGGGCCGGGCGAAAGGGGGGATTGGGAAAGGGGGGGGTTACGAAATCTGCTGCACGCACCTGGTTTCGGCCCCGCCGCCGGGCCCATTCCTCAATACATGGGCGCCTCCCGGCGCCAGGAGGCGCCGGGAAAATCAGCTACGCGAGCTGAATCTCAAACCCCCCTTTGCTATCCCCCCCTTTCGCCCAGCCCGATGTTCGTTCGTCAACAAGTTTGACCCATATCAATTGCGATCACCGTGCTACCGTTTCTCAGCGGTGCTGCACCCTGAGTCCTCTTGCGTCTGCACAGGGGCTCGCGGCGAGGAGGCGGAGGTGGGCAGGAATGCCGCAGGCCCAGATCTCGAGGCCCGCCCAGCCCAAAAAGAGGGGAGGTGGGGGCAGGAGGAGGGAGGTGGAGGGAAAAGGGAGGAGGAGGGAGGAGGAGGAGGAGGAGTACTATTAAGACGGTGGTGGGGGGTTGGACGACGGAGCGGAGGGTTCGACAGATCAATATTCTTTGTAAATTCGGTTGCCCCAATGAGTGCGACACACAAAAACATTATTTGTCTTGTCCGTTGCTGTGGGGTGCTGTGCAAGCCGTGTGGGTTCCGTCGACTCCGTCCGAGGTCTTACTTGATCGTAGGCTGGGGATCGCCAAAGATATGACAGGAGAGCAACGATTGCTCGCTGTGCAGCGCCTGATTTTGAGTTTCTACTTATATAACTCGACTCGGAGTCAGGCCAATGTTGATCCAACGATGATTGCACAGCATGCCCGTGCTGCCAGAGCGCAGCTACTGCAGCAACTGGACGATCGAGCGAGCTAAGCGACTACGAACTCATTCCGAGCGTACGTGACGAGGAGGAGGAGGAGGAGGAGGGAGGAGGGAGACAATTCAGGAGGGGGGAGGAGGACCTCCTCCCTCCTCCCTGCCGGGGGGGCAGTCGCCCCGCGCCGCGCGCGCAGGCCCTCCGAGCCCCGCGACTTTGGCAAGAGCTGGAGGGACGAG